AGAGAGAGAGATAGAGAGAGATAGATAGAGAGAGATAGATAGAGAGAGATAGAGAGAGATAGATAGAGTGAGATAGATAGAGAGAGATAGATAGATAGATAGAGATAGATAGATAGATAGATAGAGAGAGATATAGATAGATATAGATAGAGATAGATAGATAGAGATAGAGAGAGATAGATAGAGATAGAGAGAGATAGATAGATAGAGAGAGATAGATATAGAGAGAGATAGATAGAGATAGATAGATAGAGAGAGAGAGATAGAGAGAGATAGATAGATAGAGAGAGATAGATAGATAGAGAGAGATAGATAGATAGAGAGAGATAGATAGATAGAGATAGATAGAGATAGATAGATAGAGAGAGATAGATAGAGAGAGATAGATAGAGAGAGAGATAGATAGAGAGATAGAGAGAGATAGAGAGAGATAGAGAGAGAGATAGATAGAGAGAGATAGATAGATAGAGAGAGATAGATAGAGAGATAGATAGAGATAGATAGATAGATAGAGATAGATAGATAGAGAGATAGATAGAGAGAGATAGAGAGAGAGATAGAGAGAGAGATAGAGAGAGAGAGATAGAGAGCGAGATAGAGAGCGAGAGAGAGAGCGAGAGAGAGAGAGAGATAGAGAGCGAGAGAGAGAGAGAGAGAGAGAGAGAGAGAGAGAGAGAGGAGAAGGAGAGAAAGAGAGGAGAAAGAGAGAGGAGAGGAGAAAAGAGAGGAGAGAAAGAGAGGAGAGAGGAGAAAGGAGAGTGCAAGAAGAAGAAAGAGTATGATAGTACGATGGAATCATGATGGTAATAAGTCCACCGTCGCAATCGAATACAAACAATGCATGTGCGGAATGACGAAAAAGTTGTGTCCAGAAACGTGCGGCATGTCGTAGACCACGAAATGAAGCTTTACCGGCGTGAAATGTGAAATTCCTTACAACAATAGGTGAAAGTCTATATGTCCATTCATGACACGCTCACACCACAGAAGCACAACTGACATAGTACAACATCACACACACACTATTTCAACATCGTTCTAGTCTTTCTCTTGGCCCACTCCTCTTCTCTTATTCTCTCTCTTGTGCCTCTAACTTCCGTATGCCTGCCCACCACTCATCGCTTCGCCAGGCCGTCCCCTCTGGGTTAACAAGAGAAACTCAGCAGTCTATTGCTTCGCTTACCCTTCCACGAAAGAATGAGTTTTTGTGTCCTGAACTGCCAGAGAGGAATGTATCCATTCCTAGGGCAGCAGTTAAAACAGAATAACAAGACATTCAGAGTTACCCCAGCTACATGTTAAAAAAAAAATAGGAAAGAGGTAGCCTATATTAGCGAAGGACGGGTGAGGGTTGTGTTTAGATTTTGAGAGTAGTTTTATTTCATTTGGAACTAATACTGTCTATGATTTACCATGTTGTACATACCTTTTAGTTTTAGTGTGGCATTTGCTGTTAATCATATTTAAAATAGTGTGATGGTGTTTTCTCGGCAATTGGCACCTTGCTTCAAACAATATTTACAAGGCTGCAACACAACAAATGTTTACCACACAAATACCAAGAGTAGCCTATTTCTATTCTATGTATCTTATATTGTAATGTCAGCTGTGGGTGAGTTACTACGTAATGTAAGGTTACTGTGATATTCGATTGCACCGTTAATCAGTTCGCTGATTTCACGATAAGGCAGAGATTTTATTTTAAAAACTGTCCCAAAAACCCAAAGTTTGCAAGCTTGAGTGCGTTAAACAAAAAGGTACAAACCTCAATTATGGCATAACATATCCAACAAGCTTGAGTTGCTTCATCTCAAAGTGGTTTGATTAAAAAAATTTTGGACATTTTTTCTTTGTTTTAGAGCGTTTTTTAAAGCATTTTATTTGATCATTTTTTTGGCAATGTTTGTTAGTCATCAAAATTTTCCCCCTATTATAACCCCTTCAAAAATTTTCCTGATATGTAATGATTATTCTATGAATTCCCTGACCTTTTCCAGATTATTCCATGTTTTTCAGAAAGGGGGCCACCCTGCCCAAATAATTTACTTATCACCAAATTACCTAGAAAGCTCTCCTCCCATCCAGCCCATCACACTCTGCTCCATGAAGGGCTTCAACACTAACTATGGCAGCTAGTTGCATTTGCAGATTGTATAAATGCCTGCTAGTAAAATTAGTTGGTGTAAGCAAATTTGGCGTAATGTTTTAGACCATGCAACCTCTTTTATCCTACATTTTATTTTCTATGCCAGCTGTACCTTAGAGCTAATGTATGTTTAAATATGGGAACTTCACTGCCAGTATTATATAGCCTCTGGACAAGCCCTATCATTTCTGGACAGACATATTTAAAGGTAATTTTCTTTTATAGACCTTACCTTCCATTTTTAGGACTAAATATTTCTACACCTGAAAATCACAATTAAAGGAAAAAAACTTTAAAAAATTTGATCATTAATATTAAAATTGCCTAATGGTATGGTAAATCAGCTTTATTTGAAGATAATATTCAATGACTATTAATGGCTTCAGTGATGCAAACAGTTAAGGAAAAAAACTCATTCACGACGGACTGTTACGCCAGAGTTGCACAGATTTCAAATCCGCTTTGAGCCCAGGCAAGACTTTTTTTTATATTAGAATGATTCTTCACATTGAGATTTCAATTTTCTGAGTTTTGTCCAAGATGCTCAGAAATTTTACTAAAGTTTTGGTATAATTAAAACAAGTCCAAGGGCAAATAAAAGCTACTAAATATGATGCTTTCAAGCTTTTTTTAACATCACATTTGAAGAAATCAAAAAATATTTAGACCAATCAGAAAGGCTCATGGGCTATTTTCAGCCGATTTCAAATGGAATTTCCCTGTAAATTTAATATCTTTCTGAATGCCTAGATCTACAATGGCTTACAACCCTACAAATATCCCTTAAATTATCATACATATTCAGTATGCATATCACAACAATATTTGAAATGAAAAAAAGCAATGGCAAAAAAACTCTATTGACATACTATTCAAATGACATTTACAAACAAAAAGAAATCTTAATTCATCCATCACATACAAATCATTCACAAGAACAAGGTAAACTTTAAAAAAATTAGTTACTAGTTTAAGGATTTACTGAATTAAAACTGGGACCTTCAATAGAGATGAAAAAACATTTCCACTTTCCACCTTCTTCTGGTGGCCCCGTACCTGAAGAAAAAAATACTATATTTCACTAATTTTTGTCCATTATATTGCAACAAATAATCTAATATTGCTTTCATTTTAATACTAAGACAATAATTATATTTTGAATGTTACACATTAAATATTAAGAATTCAAATGTTTTCAATGTTGTAGAATTATTTATAGTATTAAAATGAATTAAACAGGATTTTATCTGTGTAACATTTAAAAAAATGTATATATATTTAAAAAAAAACGAACTTTGGTTTTAATGGTTTTTTAAATTTCTCATTATCTTCAATGCTTCAATGTAGGTTTGTATTTTATAGTAGTTTGATGTCTAGCTTTCTGGACTTCCAAGAGAAAAAACTATGTACATCCTTACTTTGTATGCAGTGGCAGGATATCGTGGATGAGACTAAGACAATTTTCCATAAGGATTTTCACATTTTCTTTTTTTATTCATATACAATCCACTCTTGACCATGTTTCTTTAAGTAATCATACTCAGCGCCTTTCCCTTTCCTCTGGGGTTAAATAACGATGCCATTCAACTTTCTAAACATTTAGATTTCAAGCAATAGAAAGAAAAAATACCAAGAATCAATGTTTAATACAGTAGAATCTTGATCAGCAGGGTTCTGTTAACATTTCCATAACTTAGTACATCAATATTTTAAAATCTTGCATTCCAATCGTCTTAAATTACTTGTTTCACATTTTAAAAAAATTCCATGAGCACATTCAAGTTTATCATTAATGTTTTTTCAAAAGCTACCACTTTTCCAATGCAAGGGTGCCATATTCAATGTTGTTTGTGTCAAGAGTATTTTGGGATATTTGCAGGCACTTTATCTTATTCAGAGCCAGGGAACTTGAGGTGTTACTTGTGTCTCTTCATTTTTTCTATTGTGGTATTTATCATGTGTGTTATTTTTGAATTGATAGCACTCAGGATGCTAGTTTTTTTCCTTTCTCTTTTTTTCCTTTTTCTGTTCATTCGCATGGTTTGCGTTTTTGTGGTCAAATTTATAGTTTATTATTTCAGTATATTTTTGAAAGTAAATGACTTTATCCCAAAGTGTTTGTGTGTTAATCTAACAAATAAATTATTCTCTTTCCTGTATAGCTCTCTAAAAAAGGAAATGGTATAAAATGCAAATTAAATATCTTAAATAACACATTCTCCTGCCCTTTTGACAGTTCTCGCCCCTTCAAAACATGCTAACGCAGATTTCCACTGTAGTTCTTAGGAACCGAATTCACACCTGCAAACGGCCAATCCTTGCAATCACAAGCTGGTCTAGAAGTTTCATGATTTTCTCGATACAAGAACTGGATTTCTTCATTGAAACCTAATTCTTCTAATTGCTTCAGTTTGTCTAGTTTCACTCACAGATTCCCACTGAACAAAAAAATAAATAATATTAAGTCAACTTTACATCAATCGTAAAAGTAAATTTTTGAAGTGAACTTAATAGTTACAGACCTTTTGAATCTTATTTGTTTGTTAAATAAAGCTGCTTTAAAGAAGGTAAATAGGTTCAGTTTTGTTTCCTGATTCCTCAAATCAGGAAAAATTAATCTCAATTAAAACCAGTATTACGAACATTCAGTGATTCCAAACTGCAATTTTTTAATGAACATAGTTTATAAAAATCTCAATAATTAAGGCATAAAAAAATTAATTCATTTTCAGTTCCTTATTACCTTGCAGTTTACCAATTTTATTTATTTCTCCCAGTCTTCAATGCCCAATTCCCTCCAATCAAGAACCTTTAAATTTCTAACACATGTGGAGGAACACGAATTTGAGTGATATGCAGCTTGAATTGGCACCTGAATTTAAAAACAACCACATAGTTTGTTAAACATTTCATTCTTATCCTAGAGGACTTACAAGGTGTGCCAGATATTTATTTATCATGAATTTATTAGTAGCCCTTGTAGAGCTCCACAACCACCCCTGCCTGCCAAAATACATGCGTTTGAGTGAATTATTTCTTTGGTAAAACTTTGGTACTGTAACACCAAAAGTTGGGGGCAACCATTATAGAATCACACACCTTAATTTTTTAAATTTTTCGAAGTGTTTGTGCACAATTTCAGAAGACAATCACTCCAGTAGCTTCCAAATTTGTTTTTTTGTGAATGCCATTCCAAACTTTCACAAGTTCATAGAAATATATATTTAAATATTACAAATATAGATTCTCTTAACAATGTTTGTAAGTAAATTTACAAGTGAGCGAAGAATAAAATTGCTGCGTGCAACCATCAAGAATTTATTAATTCACTTTTATGTATTTGCATATAAGCCACACTCAATAACAATTTGTAGTATCACCAGAATAATATTAATAATATTGGTAAAAGTCTCAGAGAAAATATGTTATTTAATTTTAAGTGTCAACAATCAAAGAAAGATAAACAAGCATTTGGATAAAGTCACTGTTCTACTAATCATTACTATAACTAGAATACCTTCACCTCACCTTCACCTCTAAATTAATTTGAACAACTGAATTAGTTAGGATAGAATAATGAAATTAAAGATCGTGTTACATAGCTCACTGACACTTACATTTAAGGAAACAAACATTATTGAAAACTGGAATTTCTTGCCTACTGGGAATCATTTTATAAAATAAATTAAAAAATTTAAAATCCTTCACTTTTTTAACAAAATGTTCAAATATCAAAAGGCAAAATTTCTATTAATAAAGGGATCCAAGAATTGAAGGTGGTAATTACTCTAACTACCTCACTTCATGAAGTCCTAACTGAAACTTGCATGTCTTTTTTCATTCTTACAAAACCTTATATTAATACAATTATTTTTTTACCATAGCAGCATATTTTTTCTCACCTGGAAGATGTCTGAATTCCTGGCCACATACTACAGCAGGATAAAATTTCTGGAACCACGTGTATTCCATTCTTCCAGCAACAATATGTTTAATTTTTGGGAATGATGTCTTTCAAATGAAGCTGGTTTGTCTGAATGTAAGCCGATTCTCACTGTAGGATTAAATATTTCATGGATGTTTGTTTCTTTTTAAGAATACATAAATTTAAATTCAAAATTGAAACTCTTTACACAAAGGAATGAAAGCCTGAATTTGTTTCACAGTTAGGAATACTAACAAAATAACATTAATATTGATTGGAAAAGCTATCAATTTTGTTTCTGCATTTTCAATGTTATAGCAAGCAATCAAACAATTTACTGCCCATTTTTAAATTATTCTTAATAAGCCTTAATGCACATAGATCAATCAAAAGGATAAAACATGGGGGAAAGGAAATTATTAAGAATTGACTACACGTCATCATGAAATCCAAATTAACTCAGGGAAGAACGATTTCAATGAATTGTAATAAACAAGCAGAGAAGTCGCACAGGCAGTTATAGATTGCCTTAACTTATGTGAATATCTTTTCACCTTGATTTAGCCACACCAAAGTCCGTAAGTTGCTGAGCAATTTCAGCAACCACTTCCAAGAATCAAACAAATTTTCTCGATACATCAAGGTTCCACGCTATTACGAGGAACATAAATTTTCAGTTCTCCTGGGGCTCCCAGATCCATGTGACCAGTTCTTCACTTTCAGACACACTACAGTCAATTTATCAAAACTGGCTAAAGAACAGGACATTTATTTAAAATTAATTATGTTATATATTATTAATATGTTAGTATACTCTTTCTCTGCATTAGAAGTAAATCGCTATTCTTATAACATCGGCTCTTTTTTGAATATTGTGAAAGAAAAATTCCAATTTACTTCATGTTTTTCTGAGTTAGAACTAATTTTTATAATCTATTCAGAAAGGGCAAATTAAAATGAACAATTTTCTTTGGGAGATTTTAGTACGCTATTTCTTACTACTATTAGAGGTGTAACCAAGTACACAGTTTTTAGAAAGGGAATACCAAAAGGTGTGTGGCGTGTTTTTTATTTTTGTTTTTAAGTAATATGTTGAGGAGGAACATAAAATTCCCAATCCCTCGCCTAGAATGGGTATAAAACAAGTAAATTAAATTTTATGGTTGAATAGTATTGCCAGTTATAAAACTAAGAATTCCATTACGTAGAGTGCTTAGGTTCAACATTGACAATTAAAAACACATAACTAGTTGATTACCCACCACTATATGTTAAAAACTGCAAAACTATTCAAAAATTTACCTCTGTTTTCTATTAACTTTATCAAAACCAACAACTTCAAATTAATGGTGCTCATATTCTTTTTTCAAAATCTCTAAATTTTGCATTTATCAACTCCAAGCAGTTTCCCCTTTCACTTCTCCATACCGATATATATTAGCTGTGCCACAATCATGACCAAAATTCACTTTTCCAAAACGAACCAAAATGGATCCTGGAGGTCAATGCCTAAAACAGATTTTTCAACATTAATATCAACTTTCAAAACCTATTCTTTGGTTTCCTTAAAATGTAGGATCTGGATAATTACCTGGTGTGAAAGTAAATTTCCCTTTTCCATGAGTTCCATTGGTTTACCACGAGATGGGATCATCCCAATCAATTCCTAACAAGTTCCTTAGGTTTGGAGGTACTTTCTCCAACAAACATTAATTGTGCCGAAGTAGCCCATGTTAACTCACTCGCTGTCCGATCTTCAAAACAGAATGGTTTTCAGTAGGCATGGCTTTGCCGTTCAGACTTGATCCAACCATCATTTACCTTACAAAACTCACGTTCAGTTATTTCACGAAAAAAACCTATAACCCAAAAATCAAATGTCATTAAAGAGCACTGTCATATGAACTTACATTTTCATTGCCGATTAATTTATGCAACAGAATTAAAAACCCGTGACATGAACAATAATTTGGAATCTTGAACACTGTGACAGCTTTTGAAGTGTTGCAGACGAAGTAAGGACGTTAATTCTTTGAGGTTAGGAAGGTAGCTTACTCAAATGATTCGGGCATTTCGCAGATTTCAAATTTACAAGACCCCTAAAGATTACGGTATTGACAGAATTGGAAATTGCAATATTTTATATTTACCAAAAGCCAATGATCTAATTTAAACATTCTATGACAACCTCCGTTGTCAAACAATCAAATATTGACATTCAGTTGACATTTGCTCTCACTCCCATTAACCCACAAATTTATAAGGGATCACCAAAAAAGATCACATAGAGGTAGAGCTTGAAGGTAACACATTTTGCAAAACCCATTTGTTGGCACTTCAGCTAAAAAAAGAGGTGCTAGTTCACCCAATAATTTATTTCTGGGAATGTGATCTCGCACCCAACACTTTTCATTGGGCAAATACAAAAACACCTAGAGGCAAACGAATTTCACCCAGAATCCACAAGGGGGAACTATGGCTTATGGACGTTTACGTGATGAAAAAAGATGTCAGGGGTCAAAGATCCCAACATTTGTTTGAAAAAACTGGGGATTGGTTTAATTTTGGCACCCAAAAAAAGGGGGAAAAAATTTTGACCAAGATGAAATTTAAAAAACAAAAAGGGGGGGGATTTTTGTTTGGGGAAAAAAAAAAAAAAAAAAAAATAAAGCGGGAAGGATAATTCCTTGGTTTAAAAAAAGGCAGTATTCCCATCCGCGC